ATTTTGAGTGACGTGGAGCACGTTTGGCCGTTGGGCTTTCACACGTGGGCAACCTGGCTCTGATACCATATGAATCTGTTATTAGAAGAGAATACTTTTAATTGATAGGTACAATTGGTTTTGTACAAGAGTGTCTTCGTGTACAAGGAAACAAGTCCTCTAATCTAGGAAACTTACTAGGAAAGTAAATCCTAATTGATATTATACAAACTTATTTCCTAACAATTATCACATGTGTTGGATAAAGACACAACTATTTGTGTCTACACAAAAAAATTATTACTTTTCTCGAATAACATATTAGATGGTACTTATTACCTACAATAAATTAACATTTGGCATTATTTTTTGTGCCCTGTAAAAAAATGTGCTCTATGCAAATCGATTTAACACAATTATTTGTGTTTTATATGAAAAGGGCATAAATATTCGTGCTCTTAAGTTGGTGGTCTTTGACCAATTTTGTAGTAGTGAATATTGGCCTTCTTGGATGATCCAAACAATTTGCTAAAAATATAGTTAATTGCTTTATGAATCGAAGCACTGCCTGCCCCCCAGTAAAAAGAATAACGACGATTCTGAAATTAAAAAGGTAAAGTAGCCATATAGTTCTACAACAAATACGAGTGTGACTATTAGCTATAGAAACAAAGAATATCAGTAAAGCAAAATAATCCAAGAACTAGTCTTCGTCAATCCAAAATTCACATAATTACAGAGATGTGTCCTAGCTGTCTTCTTCACTTGCATTGTAATGATTTGAGGGTCTTGGCTGCCACATCGAAAGCTATGGTGCAGTTCATGTTGGTAGCCTTCTTCTTCTTCATGATGAACATAATTGCAACTTTTCCATTCAATCTTCCTACGCTGTTGAGCGTCAACACCCCGCTGCTCAATTCGCTGCCAAGATTTGAACCAGTTATTCCACTTGAATTCAAACTCACCTCCGCATTTCTTTTTATGGTCGAAAGCCATCCGGCCTTGCCCTTTGCGATATTAATTACTGCCAGAGTCTGGCCTTGGTATTGAAACGTGACATTGGCAGCATTGAACTTGTAGGAACCCCAGTTGGCTGAGTTCTTGATCTTGATTTGGGTTGTGAATTTCGTGTCAAATGAAGGCATTGCCGGGACAGCTTCGAAGTTCTGGACGTTGATGTTGCCTAGCCTGAACCTGGGGGTCTTGACTTTCATGACAGTGAGACTCATCGTAGTGATAACTATGATCTGAAACACAACGAAAATAGTAATATATATGGCCATTTTGATTTTCTTCTGGCGTTTCAGCTCATCAGAGGATTGCAAAGATTCTGCATCATTTGTTTTCCAAGCCATGTTTATTTCTTTAGTGGAAGTAAAGCTTCAAAAGAAAATGCTCTGCTTTTTCTCTGTTTCGCTCTGTAAAATATGAACTGATGAGCAAGTGAATTGGTTGTGAGAATGTTGGTGAGTGCTGTGTGGTATTTATAGACAATTTGGTAAATGAGTTACTTGCCGGAATAACATCGAGGATGTAAACTTCCTGGAAATTGGAATCAAAACGCGCAAATTTATTGACTTGTAGTAGCCTAATGGATACTTGAGAACATGACTTGAAATTCCATTATACTATGTTATTATATATTTGTTGTGCATATGGACGCGTTTCAAATACGAAACTAATAAAAAAAATCAAGTATAGAATAATAGAAAGCCCCGAGGGCTTTAAAAAATTTGCCTTCCACGCATACAAACAAGGATCTGTATAAGTCTTATTACAAAGTCCAAGCTAGCATTCGGATATAATTTTTTTTATTTGGTTTTAATTAGTTTGTCTTTTTAATTGTAAGATCCTCAAATTTATTATTATTTAAGCTCCGTGGGAGTTAATCGACCCTCTCTAGAAGTCCAACCTCTAACTATGCGCGTTTGGTTATATCTTTCATTTCTAGGAAAGAAACTTAACAACTCTGCAATCATATTGTTCATTCTCTTTCTTTCCTTTTATTTCTCTGGTGGCTTGTAAATTTGTAAAGTACGCTCCTTTTACAATCACTCATTTTGTAAAAACAAGCACAAAAGAAAAACAAAACTTCAAAAAAAAATTGAAACAAATCGAAAATTAGATACGACATGGGAGACGTCGTGGTTCACCCGAACAGGCTAAGTCCATAAAAATTAGAGATATTCTTAATATTACTATACTTGTTTTGTTTACATAATACAAGTTACTTGTTTAAGAATAATAGTCACGATACCAACAGTCCCCTTTAGTCCCTAGTAAGAAATTTCTTCTTGGTTCAAGTGTTGTAACTTGAGTGCACTGGCCGAGCAACCTTTTCTTCTACATATCGCCTAGCCACACTATTCCTAATCCCCAAAGCCCCAAGGTAAGAAGGACCTAGAAGAATACTTGGCTTTTTATCCCCAAGTCCCTCATGCCGGTTATGCATTCGTTCACTTGGTCAGTGACATGAAGCAATGATGTCGAAGGGCAAAGTGTGGAAAAGGCAAGATTATGGTTCATGTCACTTAGTCAGTGATAATGCACTGATAGGCGGGGTGCCAACCCGAAAGGTACTTGTGTGTCTCAAATCAAGCATAAGTGCTGAAAGCAATGATGCTTATGTGTTGGAAGGCAATAATGCTTATGCGTCGAAAGGCAATGATACTTAATGTTGAAAGGCTAACGTTCGGTCATTGAACGTGTACCAATTCACCATCAAAGGAGTATTGTTTGGCCATTAATGAGGTGATGATTTACCTTCTAAGGGTTGTCTTTCGGCCATTGAAGGGCAGTCATCGGAAAATGACATGGGTTGAGAATAAGAGCATGGACTATAAAAATTTGACTAAATTTGACTTTCATCCCAGTAATTTGAGTGAAGTTATGTGGTGGAATGAATTTCCTGGAAAATGTGAGTTTCAAGGGAAGAATTTTGAACATGCCAAACGCGTCCAAATCACTTCTAGATGATAGATGACTTTGTTGAAGAGCTTTTAGGCTTTTTCCTCTGAGTAGATTGACATATTAATTAAATATCAATAGAAGCTTCTGTTCATGGATGAAATGTTCTAAGATAAAATGTGTCGGGTGCAATTCTAACAGTACTTGGCATACCATTCCATCAGCATCTGATAGAAAATAACAATAGAAAGCTCACCTAACTCTCACATTATTAAAGTATGGGCAATTGGCCAATTTTGAAATTCTAAAAGACCTATGACAGCATAAAGACTGTGCCTAGAACACTAACAATTGGATCTCTCTATCACACGTCTTAATTTTATTATATCCTTCTCTTTGTAAGCTATGGGACTTAAAGACCAAGTCAAAAATTCTACACTAAGAGAGCTTGGTTACATTTCAGCATTTCCTGGAAACTATATCTCTCACCATCTTTGCAATCCGCTGATGAGCTGAAACGATAAAATTAAAAAATTAAAAAAAATCAAATCAAATTGGCCATTACCTTGGTATTTTCGTTCTGTTTCATATCATAGTCTGACTGTATTTGGACACACTGTGATGAAAGTTAAGACCCACAAAGTCCGGTTAGGCAACATCAACGTCCTAGAATTTAACGCTGTCCCTGCAGCACCTTTGTTTGATACAAGCTCCACAACCCAAATCAGAGTCAAGAACACAAATTGGGGACCCAATGAGTTTGATGCGGCCAATGCAACTTTCTTGTACCAAGGCTTGGCTGTGGGGCAAATTGTCATTCCAAAGAGCAAGCCTGGAATGCGTCCCACCAAAAAAAATCTTTGTTGAGGTAAGTTTGAATTCCAATGCATTGTGAAGCAGTTCCAATCTTGGCAATGAGTTGAGCAGTGGGATGTTGACGCTGAGCAGCAAAGCTAAATTGACTGGTAAGGTGGAATTGATGTTTATCATGAAGAAAAAGAAATCTGCCACAATGGACTGCACCATGAAATTTGACTTGTCTTCAAAGGCAATTCAAGGCTTAGAATGCAAGTAGTGAGAAATTGTCAGCAATGAGTGATGGGGGTTGCAACTTCCAGATTTGAAGCGCGAGGGTTTTTTTTTTCCATTCTATTCTCTGTTTTGGGATTGGATTTTTTGTAGAACCATAATGTAGTTGATATATTGTTCTGTTTTTACTGTCTTTCAAATTTCTGACCATATGAAGAGAGATACTTTGTATATACAAATTAAGCTTTAATTTTCATCTATGGTGAATGGAGGCCTCACAAAACAAAAGATGTGTCATGTGACTAGCTAAGCTTTCCATGTCCAATGTTTTCGTCTCAACTTGTGTTTTGTGCTACATTTCCATTTTTTTGTTCATTCTCCTTCATCCTGAGACACTCTGCACCCCATGCGACACTCAACACTCAGCAAAACCTTAATCCAGGACATAACAACAAAAACAGAACAGAAAAAGTCTTCATTTTATTGGTGGATGCTCTGAGCTCAAATATCATGGACGAGAATTGTCGAATCAAAAGACAAACATTTGATTGTGGATTGCATTTCTTCGTGGCTATCCCCTTTTAGTTAATTGTTGAGCATAAACTCTATTCTCACACACATTTTGTAAGTTCAGTATAATTGAAACGAAGTATTTGTTTTATCAGATAAAACAAAGTGATGACCAAACAGAAAAACGAAGTGTTCTAATAATTAATACGTGTAGGGCATGTCATCATGTCATGATAGTTATGTAACTTTTTAACTTCTGTAACTTTCAATTGCTCATTTCTCTCGAACATACTTATACAGTATGTGGTTTGAGAACAGAGGAACATATGTAATCCTGCTTCTTCATTTCAACATTGATCCTAGGATACCTATGTCTGCAAATTTATTGGCCTTTATTGGATAAACAAGATGCATGATTTAAGCCATTTGATAAACATAAAGTAAAAAGAACAGCAATGGTACCGATTCAGTGATTAAAAAGGTAAAGTAGTTTATAATTCTACAAACAAAATACAATACAAGTGTCGCTCATAGCTATAGAAAAAAAAAAGAATATCAATGACGAAAAATAATCCAAGAACTAGTCTTCATCAATCCAAAATCCACATCATTACAGAGAAATCAAATCATGGTCTGTTTTCACTTGCATTGTAAAGATTTGAGCGTCTTGGCTGTCACATCAAAGGCAATAGTGCAGTTCATGTTGGCAGCCTTCTTCTTCTTCATGATGAACATAATTGCAACTTTTCCATTCAATCTTCCTACGCTGTTGAGCGTCAACACCCCGCTGCTCAATTCGCTGCCAAGATTTGAACCAGTTATTCCATTTGAATTCAAACTCACCTCCGCATTTCTTTTTATGGTCGAAAGCCATCCAGCCTTGCCCTTTGCGATATTAATTACTGCCACAGTCTGGCCTTGGTATTGAAACGTGACATTGGCAGCATTGAACTTGTAGGAACCCCAGTTGGCTGAGTTCTTGATCTTGATTTGGGTTGTGAATTTTGTGTCGAATGAAGGCGTTGCAGGGACAGCTTCGAAGTTCTGGACGTTGATGTTGCCTAGCCTGAACCTGGGAGTCTTGACTTTCATGACAGTGAGACTCATTGTGGTGATAACTATGATCTGAAACACAACAAAAATAGTAATATATATGGCCAATTTGATTTTCTTCTTGCGTTTCAGTTCATCAGCATTTTCCAAAGACTCTGCATCACTTCTTTGGTAACCATGGTTTGCCGGGGCTGCAGGATAAGCCTTCTCAGCCATGTTTCTTAGCTTATCTTTTTTCTGATATGAGTGAAAAGAAAGTTGTCTGCTTTTGAGGAGTCTGCTTTTCTGGAATATGAAACTTGGAAATGGAGGGAGTTGTTTGTGAAAATGATGGAAGAGTATCCTCCTATTTATAGTATTTGGAATTTTGCCAATTTCAATAAGTTACGGGGGAGGAAATCAACTTCCTGGAAAATGTGAGTTTCAGCAGAAAAGATAATTTGCAGACGCCAAACGCGTCCAAAGCCAAAGGTGTGAATTATTGACTTCTAGATGATGGAAGACTTTGTTGAGGGGCTTTTAGGCTTTTTGCTTTGATGCACGTAATGGACAAATAAAAATATCCCAATGACATGTGAGAACATGGTGTGGGATCACCTTGTGAATAGTTTGGGCAAATTATACTGTTATTTAACTTTGAATTATTCTTCAGTCCAGAACACAGTCATGGTTTAAGGAACTTTATTTGACCATGAAGCTGATATTTTGTTGAATATATGATTACTCACCAAACTCGGAATATCTTAAAATATAGGCAATTGGCCAACTGTGATATTCTAACACACCTATGGCGGCTTCAAGACGTTGCCTAAAACCAAAACAATTGGATCTCCAAAATCTTACAGGGAGACGTACCACATGTCTATAATTTTATTTTATCCTTTTCTTTGTTGGCTTTTTTTGGACGTAGACTTTTCCTACACGGTGAAATTTTTGTATGTTTCGAGTACACCGAAGTCTAAAAATATTTCGACCATCTAGAAGACAATTAAGTCCAAAACTAGATACTAAGCGCGTTTGTTTACATTTCAGCATTTCCTGGGTAGTAATTATCATTTCCTGGGTAGGTAATTATGACACTCATCATCATATTTCCACTCTCTTAAATCATTAATTAATCAAACAAAATATCCAAACTCCAGACACTATATATATAACACACTACTCTTCCATCATTTCCACAAACAACTACTCCCTCCACTTCCAAGTTTCATCTACAAAACCAAACCAACTACAAAAGCAGAGAACTTTTGTTTTCCAACTTTTTTTATCGGAAAAGAAAAGGAAACATGGCTTGGAAAACAAGTGATGCGGAGTCTTTGAGATCCTCTGATGAGCAGAAACGCAAAAAGAAAATCAAATTGGCCATATATATTACTATTTTTGTTGTGTTTCAGATCATCGTTATCACCACAATGAGTCTCACTGTCATGAAAGTCAAGACCCCCAGGTTCAGGCTAGGCAACATCAACGTCCAGAACTTCGAAGCTGTCCCTGCAACGCCTTCATTCGACACCAAATTCACAACCCAAATCAAGATCAAGAACTCAGCCAACTGGGGTTCCTACAAGTTCAATGCTGCCAATGTCACGTTTCAATACCAAGGCCAGACTGTGGCAGTAATTAATATCGCAAAGGGCAAGGCTGGATGGCTTTCGACCATAAAAAGAAATGCGGAGGTGAGTTTGAATTCAAATGGAATAACTGGTTCAAATCTTGGCAGCGAATTGAGCAGCGGGGTGTTGACGCTCAACAGCGTAGGAAGATTGAATGGAAAAGTTGCAATTATGTTCATCATGAAGAAGAAGAAGGCTACCAACATGAACTGCACTTGATGTGGCAGCCAAGACGCTCAAATCTTTACAATGCAAGTGAAGACACAAGCAAAGCAACGAGGGCAGGAGGGTGGAATAGAATTGCATGATTTCTATATCCTCTTCAGGAATCAAATTGCGGCTGAACAAGAGTAGTGTTTTATTTGTTATTTTATAGTTTTTGTTTGTGTGACGCTTGAATTTGTACTTATTTAATCTTTTACTAGTGAGCCACTATTTTTTACTGTTTTTTACCAGGATTTTAATGATATTCGGAGTCTTCTCAATTATAGAGTTGTAAAGTAAATTTGATGAATAGTGTCATTTTGTGAGGTAAAATTGCCCCTAGCCCCTAACATCAGACATGCTCTTAACTGCAATTTAATTTTAATTATTAAATTATTTTGATGCCCTATTGAATGTTTTGGGCTTTTTTATGAAGTTTTGGGGTTGAGTTTGTTTAGAAATCAATGCCATTTTTGTAATTTAAAAGAAGTTAAAAACTTTTTTGTTATGTTGTAAATGGTTTTGGTGTTTTTAAAGTCCATTTCATATAGGTTTTTATTTTTTTTTATTTTTTTATTTTTTTATAAATAATTTGTGCTCCCATATTGAGTAAAATAGTGAATCTCCCTTTTTTTAATTATTTTTTTACTTGGTCCTCGAAAAACCTAGAATTATATAGAGTGAGCTTAACTCCTTTAACAATGTTTCGACCAACTAAGATTAATCTTGAGAAGCCAAAAAACAAATATCATAATTTCATTCTTCATTAAAATAAAAATTTAAAAATTTAAAATAGAATTTTATTTGTTTTCTTTTAAAATCAAAATTTAAAAATTTAAAATAGAATTTTATTTGTTTTCTTTTTATTATTGTTTTAAATCTTCTTCTTTTTTGCCAGATATTGTTATAAATCTTTGAATTGAGTGTCTTTGTAGCATTTATTTATCTTCTAGGTCAAAAACCCCAATTCAATTTAAATATTATAATAATTATTTTTTAGTCCGACACAACATCAAGCATAAGTTTTTACTATTTTTATAATTCAGCTTTTTAGTCCGACGCAACACCAAACATAAGTCAGTACTTAATTCAGCTTAGTCCAATCTGAGCTAATCTAAGACAGTCCCAGAATTTAGTCCAGTTCATAACAGTTCACCATGCCAAACAGCCCTATTAGTCATATCTAAAAACAATCTGGATAAGTTTCTGTCAATGTCATGATAAAAGAAAAAAAAACAAGTGGACAGGAACCTTCTAATGGGATTATTATCTCTTTGAATGGTCATAGCTATACCTATATGTTATTCGTCCTCCCTCCTAGCCTGCAACTTGCAAGTTGGGTAGAGAAAATTATACACATGACAAAATATCTTTTACGGGTCCCATTTACTGTTTGGTTTTGTTCCATCCTCTTCATAAATAAAATACTTTTTTTCTTTCTGTTGATTTATTTAAGCCTCAAGCTTTTGTGGTGTGTGGTGTTTTTCATGCTTCTTCTCTGTACAAGTGTTTTGGGGAGCAGACATCATTTCTTTTCTATTGTAGTATCATTGGATAATGATCGGCCATGTTTGGACATTAACACGTTTGCCACGGTTGAGATTCCTTGATCATGATGGAGGAACCTCCTGTCTCAATTATGGAAAGAAATGAAAAGAAAATTCATATCACTAAGCAAAAATGAGCAGATGCTTTCAAGCACCACCAAAGATGACAACAACTTGGCCACTTGGGTTTATTTTATTCCGCATAAGATGGTCATCACATCCTTGGGACCTTGGTCTTGTTCAAAACTGTTCAAGTGGTGGCTCTTTATGCAGTACTCAAAAGCCCCACAGGGTTGTTTGTTGCCTAATAAAAAAGATCATTCAACCAGTGCATTTGTACATGAAAAGTCCTCACCTAGGCTTGAGGTCCAAATCGGACGACTGAGACCACAAGAAGCTTCGTGGATACAATAACACCAAGTCAACATTTCACAGTAGGTGTGCTTGGCGTTTCAACATAAACAGTAAAAATAAAATAAAATAAAAACAAACAAACAAAACCCCATTTATGTTAGGTCATTTTCTGGGAAGCAAAGCCCGTTGAGACTACCAGTCTATAAGTATTACACAACATTTCTTCACTACAATTACCACAAACACAAGTCCTCCATTTCCAAATCCATCTCTTAGAAGCAAATCACCCCATTAAAAAAGATCAAGTGAGAAGAAAAAAAATGGCTGAGAAGGATGCAGATCATGAAGCAAACGCATACCACCAGTCCGAGGAGCGCAAACGCCAGAAGAAAATCAAAAGGTTGAAATATTTTGGTATTTTCATTGTGTTTCAAGTCATAGTCATCACCATATTCTCACTCACTGTGATGAAAGCCAAGAGTCCAAAACTCAAGTTGGCAAGCAACGCCTATATCCAAACACTCACCTATTCCCCGGCAGCACCTTCGTTCGACATGAGCTTCGTAACACAAGTCAGAGTGCGAAACCCAAACTGGGGTCCTTTTAAGTTTCGTGACGGCACCATCGTGTTTACATACCAAGGTGTGGTTGTTGGGCAAGTTTATATTCCAAATGGCAAAGTCGGATTGCGATCCACCAAAAAAATCACTTTGCTTGTGAATGTGAATTCCAATGCGTTGCCAGGCAAGTCTGCTCTTAGAAATGAGCTCAGCAATGGCTTGCTGTTGCTGACCAGCACAGCCGAGTTGAAGGGAAAGGTTGAGTTGATGCTGATCATGAAGAAAAAGAAGACAGCTGAATTGAGCTGCTCTATGGTGTTCAATTTGGTAGCAAGGACTCTCCAGAATTTGGATTGTAACTGAGAATCGAGCCAATTTTAGTTTTATGTTTACAAATTTTGATTGTTATATTGTTTACAAATTCTGTTGGATTATATATAGAATATACAGATTATAGTACAGACTCCAATTCTACTTTAAATACTTTTCCCCATGCGTTTTTATATATCCCAAAAGCAAAAGGCAGTACATACATATATGTGTGTGTGTGAACTTCAAATTTCAAGGTAACATAGATAAAATTAAAAACAATTTTAAGTTGGTTTTTTGGTTCGTTCATTCTCCTTCATCTCTCTTTTCCCCCATGTATTTTCTCTGTACGTCTGACAAAAATTAAAAAAAGAAAAGTTACCGAACGAGATTAGTGTCAAGGATTCATTCTCCTTCATTTCTCTTTTCCCCCAGTGTATTTGCTCGCTACATCTAACAAGAATTAAAATTAAAAACAGAGAAGTTACCAAACGAGAGCTTAGTGTCAAGGATTGTGCTTGAACTGACTGGCCTTGAGACCAGGACTGTATTTTCTTGTAGTTGGTGGCATTGGAGTTGAAATTATTTTCTTTGAATGAGACTCGCTATCAGTTGCTTCATAAGTCAAACTAACCAGGCCAAGTTTTGGAATGGTTTTTAATGCACGACATACGATTTATTAGTTGAGGGGTAGTATCAAGGCCTTTCTTTTTGTCCCAGTACGAAAGGGGTTGATGGAAAACATAACTTAAGAAGTAATGTTGAAAACAATGCATAATATATGACCGTTGAGCAAAACAGAGAGTTAAAATCAGGACATTTCTCAATCCAAACCACACAATAAAACTCTCACAAGAACAGAGGGCAACTTGTGTAGGCTATTTTGAACAACATCATTGGGACTTTTTCTACCTGTCTTTTATCCTTGTTCTGCAATCTACATCCCCATTTAAACAAGGACAAGATCTTGTCTACTAGGTGGCCTTTGAATTTTGGTTCATTTGACAAAGTTATCTCTCACATATTTTTATTTTTACCAAACTACTTTTCATATGAAAAACAGAGTAAAAAGCCAACGGGGTCTAGTCCAATGAAAATAGGGCATTGACTTGCATATCAGTGGTTTCATGTTGGAACCCTTATGGCACCTTGCTAGTGTCTATGAGAAATCTCTCTCTCTTTATAGTTTAGGCTATCGCTTTTATTGAAAAAAAAAAACTGACCAATAAAAGAAAGAAAAACAGAGGTCGCAATTGGGCCTTATGTCATGAGCAGAGTGGAAAGAAAGAGCATCAAACCAAAAATCCTGCATTGACAAAATAACAAACAAAATATCTGAGGAAGTGTTGCAATTTTATCTCTGCCTTTGTTTCTTGGGAAAAAGACTAAGAAGCTTGATGCCAAAGCAATATAAATCAGATGCTGATGCAGTTGTATTCACTGAGGTATCATTCCTTTGAAATGTCATATTTGCACAGTTTCATTTGCACGATTCACATTCTATCTTCATCATTCAGAGCAAAACATTGACTAAATAATAAAATAAAGTTCTTTAAATCCTAGGCCATGTTTGGTTGAATTGCCTTCGGAAATTTGCAGTCCAACTATCCCAATTCTTGCTTGTATTCAGGGACAACAGAACAAATCATATTAATTTAATTTAATCTTAAAAACCAATATTTTCAAAACACCGTTCACAAGGTTGTTAGTATAATATTTCTCACAACACGTTTTCACATTTGATTGGGAGATTTGGTCTATGCCAACGGATAGATTCGAAGCTTCTGTTGATATTTTCGACCAAAAAAAAAAAAAAAGCTTCTGTTGATATTTATTTTGGCATTGATGGTTCTGATGATATTTAAAATGTCCAAATCTCATGGCAAAACCCTAAAAGGTCCTCAAAGAAAAGTCGTCCATCATCTAGAAGTCTATAGTAATCACCATAGGACGCGTTTGGGGTCCTCAATAAAATTTCTGTTTTCCAAACTCACATGTTCTTCCTGGAAACTCATTATTTCCACCACATGAGTTATTGAAATAGGCCCGACACCCCAAACACTATATATAGCACACTTCCCTACCTTCATTTCCACAACTAACTTCCTCTGCTTTCAAGTTTCATCCTAGAAAACAAAACCCAGAAAGCAAAAGCAGAGAAATCTTTCTTTCCAAATTCATATCAGAAAACAAAAAAAAAACAAAAAACAAGTTAACATGGCAGAGAAAACCAACCCTGCCTATCCCTTGGCACCATCAAACGGTTACACAAGAAGTGATGGAGAGTCTCAGCTGTCCGCTGATGAGCTGAAACGCAAGAAGAGAATCAAATTGGCCATATATATTACTATTTTCGTTGTGTTTCAGATCATAGTTATCACCGCAATGAGTCTCACTGTCATGAAAGTGAAAACCCCCAGGTTCAGACTAGGCAACATCAATGTCGAAAGCTTCGTATCTGACTCGGCAGCGCCTTCATTCGACACGAAATTCACAACCCAAATCAAGATCAAGAACTCAGCCAACTGGGGTTCCTACAAGTTCAGTGCTGCCAATGTCACGTTTCAATACCAAGGCGCGACTCTGGCAGTAATTGATATCGCAAAGGGCAAGGCTGGATGGCTTTCGACCATAAAAAGAAATGCGGAGGTGACTTTGAATTCAAGTGCAATAGATGGTTCAAACTTTGGAAGTGAATTGAGCAGCGGGGTCTTGACGCTCAACAGCGTAGGAAGATTGAACGGAAAAGTTGCAATTATGTTCATCATGAAGAAGAAGAAGGCCGCCAACATGAACTGCACCATAGCTTTTGATGTGAAAGCCAGGACCCTCAAATCTTTACACTGCAAGTGAAAAAAACAGACCATGATTTGATTTCTTTCAACTTGTTTTAATTTTCTGCAAATTTTTTGTTGTTCGTTTATGAATTATTGTATGGGTATATATGCACTTCCCAGGCACAACTTTGCAATTGTGCTATTTCGTTATATACAGGTTGGTAGTGCTTTTTCTTTTTCTGCAATTTTTTCTGTTTTTGTTGTATACAATTTTGCAAAGACTGAACTGATTCAGTCTTCATTTTTTCGAATCTGATGCCGCCCACTTAATAATAATATAAGATTGAAATATTTAATATGATAAAAGGTGACGGGCTTAGAGGCTGCAACTTGCATTCAAAGCAATGTTTACATTATAATAGCACGCCAACCTGGGTTGACCATGACCGACATAAGATGAACTTGGGACTTGTCAATTATCTCAGGAGAGAGGACAAATCACAAGTTGTGATGATCATGTAGTGGTTGGGTTTCATGCTGGCTAATTTGTCCTAACTCTAAATGGGGAAATTTTTTTCAAATTACCCGATTTAACAAATGGAAAATTGTTTTGACCGTTGCTTGCCCTTTTTGATGTGAAAAGATCTAAATGCCCTCAAGAAACATCTAAATATCTTGATGCGCAGAGGTTAGATTTTAGAGTCTACTCCGTCTTGGTTTATAGCAAAGTTGTCAAATAACATCATTACAGTAGTTGTATTTGACAACGGTTTCGCAGTGCTTTTCTAAAAGGGGATGAGTTGTCGAATGAAGTTGAACGTCTTGTTAAATATACGTTCATGTGAAACACATGGGGCTGCTGGAAATATATATCATTTTAGTCTATAATTATGTGGTCGCTTGCCTCTCTAATCTTTTAATTTATTCGTAAAGTATGTAGCTTAATTGCAAAGTCTGCTCCTTCGTGACTTGTGCTTTAAATAAGCTTTGGATGGTAGCACGATAGGTTGATTACGTTTCAAATTAATTTAGTAACACATAATTACGAGGTTAGGAAGATGTTTGTTTATGGCAGAATACAGAGGCATGACCCAGACCTACTCATTTATTTATAAATAAATAATACGCATACTTAATGCACTATGCTTGTTTTGGTCAATCTTGGTATGAGTGGAAAATGAAAAGCTGTGACACAACATGGTATGCTTTGTTTTGGTCAATCTTGGTATGAGTGGAAAATGAAAAGCTGTGACACAACACTTCCATGTGAGAATTTGAACCATCTGAACTATCTTCTTTTCTTTCGTATATATTTATTCGTATTTTCTTTTCTTTCGATAGTTTACTTAATTATGCTAAGAGACTTTTGGTGATCATGAGCCTCTACATTTAGCATTCAATTAATCTAATAGATATTAGTTATTCCCCCTCAGCGTGGTTGTATTGTATTAAAACTCACAATTTGCACGGTATCAAATAAAAAACTGATACGTCTTGGGGAAAAAAAAGGTCAATAAACAATAAATATTTATTTTGGTCAATAGTAATAATGATATTGATAATGCATGAGCCAAACAAGGTTTTTTGAGAGAGAGCAGAGTCAAAAAAGGTTAATTACTTAATGTCAAGCCTAAAAAATTATTGCGGTTCAATAATTTCCAATATTTTAATAGCAAGCTTTGAGTTTTCCTTTGTATTTCTTTTCACGGTCTTGCAAGTGAAGGATAGAAGGCTGCGCAGGAGAGAAGCATGTGTCTTTCCTCCTTGAGAATCTCGAAAATATTTCCATGGTTGTATGGTTTGTTAGTCGATATGATGACATGCAGTTAGTCTAATTGTTGTTCGACCCAAAAATACATGGTTCATAATAAATATGGATGAGGGAATCATCAATTTATGGTTTTGGATAATATTGAAAATGATATAATTATAAAATTGAATGGGAAATAAAGACTTTAGGAGAGAAGAGTAAGTGATACGGTGTAACGGGTGAGTTTTTAATAAAACATAACTAAAGCTAAAGTGGAAAGAAGAGGCTTTGCTCCGAAGAAGAAAAATGAGAATCTTAGCTGAAATAGCCCAAGCAATGGTCAGGCCAAACTCACAAAGGGGGCAGGGTGGCCTATCAGTCCTTAAGCCCAAAGTCGCAAAAGGATGATTTTGATAGCGGCTGGCCTGTAAAATAATCCAAGTTCATGAACTTATATTCGTAGCAAATGTGACAGTCACATCAATCTAACAATTGATATCACTATAACGTTATTAAATTGTAAATTAATCCAAGTTCTGATCCTCCCTTGTTTCTTCATGATCATGACTGTGTAAAAGTCTACAATGCTTGTAGACTTATTATAAATTGAATCATGCATGTATATTTGTTACTAATAAGGAGTTGGATTCGAACTCGAAACCTCTTTCAACATTGAAAAGAGAGAAAAGAGAAATCCCGTTAAACCAATTTCTAGCGAGAATTTCCAAACTTCAAAAAAGCATGCATTCTGCAACAAATGGTAAAGCTTGATGAATGATCTCCTGTTCCACAAGGATTATGAAAGTGACCATGCACAACGTTTGTTCGTTTGCCTTCAGAGCCAACTAGACTCAAACAGAGACAGAAAGGTCTCAGCTGTAAAGTCCTTTTCGCCATTTTCTCTTTGGTTCTGGCACTATAAACAAAGTCCACTTTTGATCCTCCTAATTTCAATTTTCCCACTTGACCTACTCCCATCATTTTGCACACTCATCTTGTTAGTGCGGAAATTAACTGCTCCCCAAATCTTTTACATATAAAACCAGAAAGAAAAAAAAAAGTATTTAAAAAAACTCAGTTCAAGATTAGTCTGATTTTAGCCCCTACCTTCTGACTCATTCAATGTTTCAGATCAGACCCAACTCTCTCCTATCAGTAGATTGTGCCTCCATTATTCTGGAAGATCACAAAAAGAAGTGAAGAAAAGAAAAAACTGTGACATCCCATATACATATAGCTGACCTTGACCTCCTCACTGAAAAACCTGGTGGCACGAAAAATTCCACCATTTTTCACAAAACTTAAATAAAATATCTATGCTTTTAGACCTATTGACAATGCTGTGCTGTCTAGTATATAATTTAATTTTTTTTAAGAAATCAAATCCCACAATGAACAGCTGACGCACGGACGTAGGCCATAACTGACCAATTCTTATCCCCTAAGCTTCAGAAATTAAACATGAGTACCCCACTCACATTCACCCCCCACGCACACCAACACTAATATATAATTCATATCATAACCCACGTTATTAAACATCACCCATTCAACCAAATTAAGCGGCTTTTCATTTTTTTTCTTCTTCTAGCAATGGCAGAGCAAGAGAGCCAAGTTTGGCCATTGGCACCCTCCAGACTGCATCGCAGAAGCGATGAAGAAAACCCTACTTTCAAAGCCATACGCAGAGAAAGAAGCAACAAGTGTTTCGTCTATGTGTTTTCTGCGATTGTCCTCCAAAGCATATTAATCTTGGTCTTTGCTTTGGTTGTTCTTCGTGTCAAATCACCTGGTTTTAATCTCAGCTCTGTGGTAGTCAAAAATCTCAAGCACACAACTTCGCCAACTTCTTCTCTCAATGCAACTTTGGTCACCGAGTTGGCCATAAAGAACAAGAACTTTGGGGAGTACAAGTTTGAGGGCAGCAGCGCGAGTTTGTGGTATGGAGGATTTAAAGTTGGCGAGGCCAAGATTGGGAAGGGGAGGGTTAAAGCGAGAGGGACGAGGAGAGTGAGTTTGAGTATTGAAGTTAGGTCAAATAGGCTGCCTCAGGAGGCTAAGAATGGTTTTGAGGGTGAGATAAATTCTGGGTATTTGAAGATCAGCAGCTATGCCAAGCTGAGTGGGAAAGTGAATTTGATGAAGATCATGAAGAAGAGGAAGACCATTGATACGAACTGCACCATGGTGGTTGTTTTGAAGAGCAGGACTGTCAAGGATTTATTTTGCAGATGATTTTAGTGGGTTTGCTCTGTTTTTTTTTGTTTTTTGTTCTGTTTTTTAAGATTTCTAGTTAGTGATAGATATGATCTGTTGGTGTATTTGTATTTTGAGATAAAACTAGCAATGAATTCAATCATTTGCTTGTAGAGATTTTGATTTCTAGGAATTCATTCGTTTGTTTTGTTTTGTTGTGTATATTGTTAGCTAATATACATACGTGTTCTCTTTTTCTTCCCTATAAATTTTTGTCCATATATTTCAATTTCAGATTTCAGTTTTCTTTGTGACCAAGTTTTTATTTTTGTTTTTGTTTTTATGTCCACTTCATAGCAGCTATATGTTGCCATCTGCCAGCTTTATGGTCAATTAATTGTCTAAATCATTTCCCAACTGGGTCTAATCTAGTATAAAAAAATCTTGACTTACAAACTAGTGGTCTCGTGTTCAAATCTCATGACATCACAGTAGTTTGTGTGAGAAAACCTCACTCCAAACTATCGTTTGTACTATAAAAAAAGTCTAAACCATAACTTTACTCAATAAATTTAACACTTTGAAATATGGTTTATTTCCTAGACAAGACAACAAATGGAGGTGTTCATTTGGGTGGCATATGATATGACATGGATATGCCGGAGTTCAAAAGAAAGTGAAAAAAAAAAAAAAAAAAAAGCCCTTTTCTTTTGGCTGGAAATGATTCAAAATGAATTCGTCTTGGCTAAAAAGACACCCAAACCAAACCCAATGGCATGCTTCTGCGTGAAAAAATGGGAATCTTGTACTTTAATTATATTTTTATTGGTAGTAAATGAGACCAACAGAATCGCATAATTATATTTCATAGGCTCTGTGGCTGCCGGTGGATAATTAGTAGTAAATGAGACCAACAGAATGGCATAATTATATTTCATAGGCTCTGTGGCTGCCGGTGGATAATTAGTAGTAAATGAGACCAACAGAATGGCATAATTATATTTCATAGGCTCTGTGGCTGCCGGTGGATAATTAGTAGTAAATGAGACCAACAGAATGGCATAATTATATTTCATAGGCTCTGTGGCTGCCGGTGGATAATTAGTAGTAAATGAGACCAACAGAATGGCATAATTATATTTCATAGGCTCTGTGGCTGCCGGTGGATAATTAGTAGTAAATGAGACCAACAGAATGGCATAATTATATTTCATAGGCTCTGTGGCTGCCGGTGGATAATTAGTAGTAAATGAGACCAACAGAATGGCATAATTATATTTCATAGGCTCTGTGGCTGCCGGTGGATAATTAGTAGTAAATGAGACCAACAGAATGGCATAATTATATTTCATAGGCTCTGTGGCTGCCGGTGGATAATTAGTAGTAAATGAGACCAACAGAATGGCATAATTATATTTCATAGGCTCTGTGGCTGCCGGTGGATAATTAGTAGTAAATGAGACCAACAGAATGGCATAATTATATTTCATAGGCTCTGTGGCTGCCGGTGGATAATTAGTAGTAAATGAGACCAACAGAATGGCATAATTATATTTCATAGGCTCTGTGGCTGCCGGTGGATAATTAGTAGTAAATGAGACCAACAGAATGGCATAATTATATTTCATAGGCTCTGTGGCTGCCGGTGGATAATTAGTAGTAAATGAGACCAACAGAATGGCATAATTATATTTCATAGGCTCTGTGGCTGCCGGTGGATAATTAGTAGTAAATGAGACCAACAGAATGGCATAATTATATTTCATAGGCTCTGTGGCTGCCGGTGGATAATTAGTAGTAAATGAGACCAACAGAATGGCATAATTATATTTCATAGGCTCTGTGGCTGCCGGTGGATAATTAGTAGTAAATGAGACCAACAGAATGGCATAATTATATTTCATAGGCTCTGTGGCTGCCGGTGGATAATTAGTAGTAAATGAGAGAAATGATTCAAAATGAATTCGTCTTGGCTAAAAAGACACCCAAACCAAACCCAATGGCATGCTTCTGCGTGAAAAAATGGGAATCTTGTACTTTAATTATATTTTTATTGGTAGTAAATGAGACCAACAGAATCGCATAATTATATTTCATAGGCTCTGTGGCTGCCGGTGGATAATTAGTAGTAAATGAGACCAACAGAATGGCATAATTATATTTCATAGGCTCTGTGGCTGCCGGTGGACTCGGCTGTCACTTTTTTAATTTGCTTTATCTCCCTAATTTATCGTTGCATGATTTGCATCTGTCGTCCAACCTGGAACATGTTCCTTGGTCGGTTTTCGGTTGTAGGGACTGGTCCACGTGCAGCACGTGACATGCTGCTCCAGCCTTGTTGCTTCTTTCCAATCAAAGAAACGGGCCTATTCTATACATGGCATAAACCCCAAATGATTGGACCGATCTTGAATCAGTTGGGCCTAGTACTAGTTGAAACTCTCTTTTTTTGAGGATGGGGGAGGAGGATAGATTCTCTCTCTTCATTTTAGATATACACATTTGGTTTTCCTCTTCATGATCGGAGTCAGAGGCGGATCTAGTAAGGCGCAAGGAGGTGCAGCTGCACCTCCCCTATCCTGAAAAACCATTGTAAGTGCTTCAAATTGCCCCTTTACTAAACTGTTGTACAGATTACCTTATTTTCATCTTCAACATTTAAGTAAATGTCTTTGTCCTTTTACTTTTATTTATTTTTATATTACTCCATTTACTTAAGTTTACAATGTAAATAAGGAAGTACCCCCTATTTGGATTCAAATAAAAATACTAGAAAATCAAATTCCCACCAAATCAAAATATGAAAATTCGGTTTTAGTGCAAAATACGATTTAGGCTAAAAATGATGGCTCATTAAGTCAATATATACTTCATACTAAAATCTCATAAAATCAAGTTTTCTTATTTGATGTGTAAGGAATAAAAGCCGCCAAAAATTATCTTGAGAAAATGATTATTCCGAAAAACCATTTTTCATACTTAGTCAATATTGCACCTCTGCTAAAAAATTTCTGGGTCCGCCAGTGATCGGAGTGATTATAGAATATTAGGGTAATACGGTCATATGATACAATTTGTATACGTGTTATAATATAAGTGAATATTTATTAATATTATTCTATATAAGAAAGGAAAATAAATTATGTCGTCCACTCATATTATAACACGTATACAAAACGTACTACATAGCCATATTACCGTAGTATTCTATAATTTCTCCTATGGCCACAAAAATTCCCACGTAACAAAGAAAATACTAAGAAGAAAAAATATCTTCTTAAGACACCACCAACAAGAAAAGAAGATTTAGTGCTACTTTTAACTTTATCACTTTAGACTTGATTTAGTGCTACTTTTAATTGTGTCGTTTTAGACTTTCACTTGTGTACTCGATTCCCCTCTTCTCAATTATCGCTTGTATATTTCAAATTCTAAACACTAAACCTTAAACCCAATCAGCTTAAACTCACGCATAACAAAAGCAGGGGATCCTATTTCATATGAAATGAACCAAAATGAAAAAAGAAGAACCTCTTGGCATAAGCTCCGGAGGTAACTTAATTGATATAATTGCATCTAGGACTAGGATCATATCCCCACAGCGATCACAGAAATTACATATATTCACAGACAGACACTGTGACACTGCCCTGCTTTTACGTATGAAAAAGAGAAATAGGAGGAACATTATTGTTGACTTCCAAGGAGCACCCAATTCTGCTCCTGTGTCAGTATCAGTTTTCCCACCTTGTAATAGTAATATATCACCTATAAATTACAAACACACTCCCCCTTTTCCTATCAATCAAGCAGTGCCACTCTTGACTCTTCTCACAACAAGTTATGCATTCCCATTTATTTTTTGGGTCCCTAAACAACGAGTTATGTTACTATCAGACAGCATGATTCAAAGAAGCTTCGACAACCTATTTTAAAATCCATGGATTTATATCCACACTTTTGGTGACATTTTCTTATTAAACAAACAACATCAGAGTCAAAAGTCAAGCCGTGCAACTTGTGCAACCGCGTCTAGAATCTCTAAAATTCTCCAACATTTCACAATCAAAGACCCAAGAAAAAAGAAAATCAAAATTTCCATGAAACTCATCAGCCTTTCCAGTTCCAAATATATATATATATATATATATATCTCCCCCACCTTTTTTGCTCCCTTTATTTTCCAAACCTCTCTGAATCACAGCCATGGCTGCCAAAGAACAAGGCAAGCCCCTAGCCCCAGCCAACTCATACCATCTCCGCAGTGATGAAGAAGAAGTTATCGTCTCCTCACACATAAAGCTCTGCCAAAGAAAATATGTAATGTGCTGTGGCTGTGTCTCGGCTCTCTTCTTAATCATAGCCGTAACTGCCATAGTTCTCGGGTTCACGGTGCTTCACGTAAAGAGCCCGAGGATCGAGATGAACAACGTCACAATCCAACAGCAGCCGAAGGTTGCCAACGGAGCCCTACGCTCGGATACTAATGTGACACTCCTAGCTGATGTCTCGATCAAGAACCCTAACGTGGCATCTTTCAAGTATGGGAACACAACCACCAGGGTTTTCTACAACGGGACGGAGGTGGGCCAGGGGAGGACTCCGGCAGGGGTAGCAAAGGCGAGGAGGACGATGAGGATGAACGTGACGGTGGATATTGTTCCCGAGGAGATCTCGGTGGTGCCGGGGTTCACGAACGAGGTGGCATCAGGGAAGTTGACGGTGAGCACTTATACAAGGATTAAAGGTAAGGTGAAAATTCTTATGGTCAATAAAAATGTGGTGGTTGAATTGAATTGTAGCATGACGTACAATTTTGCAAACACGGGGATTGAAGAAGAGGACTGCAAGCGAAGGGTTAGTCTTTGAGTATTACGGTTCACAGAACCACAGGTTGCTAAGAGAGCAGTCGTTGTATTACAATTCTGGTCTCTTTTTTTTTCTTTGTCCAAGCAATTTTTTTTCTGTATGCGCTGTATATGATTGAATATCAGATGAGCAAGACCAAAGGGAAGATTTGAGATCCCATTTACCGATTAAGTATGTAATTACAATTAAATTATGGTTGAATTAGATGTCAATTATTAGTCTGATCGATTACAAAAATTTCAAACCGCCATGGCTGAATTTGTACAAGTTTGACTTCGATGTGTGCATCAAAACATGTATCTGTAAATATCACCACATAGGAGGAGTTTGACTCTTTGCTCCTTAGTTTCTCATGAAACTGTATTTGAGAGAGACAAATGAGCCCTGAAATAAGAGCCAATCCTCCATCCTTGTATGCGAAAGAATGGGTGTAATTACGACCTTATCAACTGGTCTCCACTACATGCCTCATCTTCAACTAAAAATAATTTGAAACAACCACTTCCACATCACTACTTTTTCAGCGTCAATCATCATGTTGTGTGAACTAATTTCTTTTTACTAGGACTCTATGAATACTTAAATTCTTTAATATTGTTAATTCTATTTATTGATGCATGTTGAGTGCTTGTTACCGTTTTTAATGCTTTCAATTAATTGGCCACTAATTGCATTACTAGAAGAATTGGGTTGAGACCGGAAGGAGAAGCCTAATAAAAAGCTTCTTGTAACAAGTATCATAAATTACATAACCAACTCGGAAAATTAGGTTGTGGTTTGTGTAGTCTTTAATATTTTCCATAAATCTTAATGAGCTCTCAGCCATCTAAATCCATAAATAGGAATAGAGTAGGTTGATGGTAAATAACACAATTAATATATTTGGAAGAGAGTATTGGTGAGGTAAGGGAAAACGACTACTATCAATATGTTAGGTAAATTAAGATTAACAAGCTAGAAGGATTTGGGTGGAATTAACTAGATAAAATCGGTGTCCTAGTGTTTATCATCTTTATTTTCATCTGTTACACTGTTTACTTACTCTTAATTTACACTGTCACACTGTTTACTTACGCAAGATCTCCAAATATCCAAAATCCACTCAACGCAGAGCCAAAGCCAACCAAGCAGGCTTTTGATGGGGCAATTGTCCCTAATTCATTTGGCAATAAACGCATTTCATGGTTGATGTTTCTATTAGCGAAGGCTCAAGAAGACAGATCAATTCACTGAAATCAAATCTTTGGTCAATATCTATGGAAATGAATACTAGTCAAATTAAAGCATACGACACGCAGAGGCTTCACATGCGGAAAGTCAGACATTACAATAATGGGTGAGACAGAAACAAGTCGGACAAATATATGTACCCAAAAGAAAAATTGGACGAAACTCCAACACTATGGAATGCAAGCAAAACAATTCTTTAATTAAGGCAGACGTATAGCTTAACAAATTTTTTTAAAAAATTGGGTATTAGAACATAGACTTCATTAAAGGTCCTAAAAGAAACAAATCGAGCCAAGTTAAACTCAAGAAATTGTAGGCAAGCCAAGCTCGAGCACTATGATATTCGTCCTAACTCAGCTCGTCTACACTATTGTTTTTCTCTTTTTAAGTGAATACATGTCTTTCTTCTTTATATCCTGTTTTTTGTTACAATGGAAGAAAATCGAGTAATTGAAATAGAGTGGTGATTTCCCCACTCCTTTTTCTCCTATTTTATCCACTTACACTCCTTTTTTATAACTAAAAAAAAAATGTAAGTAGATAAAATAGGAGTGGAGAAATCATTGCCCTTGAAATATTCTACTCCAAACTCATTTTTTGGTCCACCCTTTGCATTTGAGCTAACCTTATGCCATTCTACTCCAAACAATCATGTCAATGAAAGAGCTATACACATGCCTCGAGCCCCTTATGTGATACGTCTTGTCATCTTTGGTATCTCGAAAAGAAGATCAAGAGATGGCCTAAAGCCTATTTCATATATTTATGCCCCCATTTAGAGCATAATTCCAATTAAAAACAGTGACAAATCCTTTAAATCCGGTTACCCCAAAAAGAAAAGAAAAACTTTTAACAACACTGCTGTAATTGAAATTTTTTTATAAAACAAGAAAGGTCCCCCAAGAATCTGATAAATAGCCAAAACGACAAAGGAAGCAGCAGATCAAACAGTGTAGCAGCGCTTTTGTAGGTCCAAGCACTACCACAAGGAGACAAATTGAATCTCCGAAGTTATTTCAAAACACAGATTAACAAAAACTTGCACGAATTCCCGTACGTCATTAGGACCGAACCAAAAAGCAAACCCAACACCCATGAGAGAGAAACCCAGATTAAGTGCTTAATTGGAGAGAGAATAAGTGCTTTTGGCTTTGTTTTATTAATTAACATAGCAATCAGAGAATGCCATGTTGTATTGTATTCTATGTGTTTGCGTTTATGCCCAAGAGAGATTCCACCCTCCACCAATCCGAGCAGTACACTCAGACCCTTCTTTACTCTCTTGTCTGGTCTCTTCCTCCCTCCCTCTCTTTTTTGAGAAAATGAAAATACTTCGCTCCTTACCTGACAAGTAGCATCCTTGGGAAAATAGGACCCCAACTTTTCAACCTCTAAGGCTCTACCTGACCACTAAATCCAACATGTACTTAGAGCATCTTCAGGAGAGTCTCTAAATTTTAACCAAATTCTAGCATCTCCAATTAATGTGTCAAAAGTACCACACAGATATTTAACGACTAAAAATAACATCTTACATCACTCCAACCGATGTGTCAAATATAATATGGAATGAAGGTTAGAGGTTGAGATGTTATTTTTGACATCCTAAAAGCAAGATGTCAAATAAATATTTTATTATTTTAAAAAGATAACTGACTGTTACTTTTATTTATTATTTTCTTTTTTTTTCTTTTTTTCTTCTTTATCTTAAATAATTTGATTGTTACAATAATTATTTATTTGATATATCGGATGAAGTGTAAAATTGTATAAATGTCAAATTGCCACATCAGCCATCAAATTTAAATTTGATGTTTAGTATTTGACATCTTCCTTGGAGATGCTCTAAATGTAAATAGCTAGAAAGCTATTATAGCAAACCACTTAAAATGTGTTTCCTCCAGCAATGTTTTCTATTTTGGTTAATCTAAAATATTTTATTATTATTTTCTCTTTCTCTTGCAAATCCAATATATTCATTAAAAAAAATAGAAACCCAACCCCCCTAACCTCCCAAATGTCTCTATCTCTCTCTCCCTTTTTCTCTCTCCTCCTAGCCAAATTCTCTCTCCTCCTTGCTATATGCAGAGAGTTAAAAGTTGGTTATCCAAAATAGAGAGTAAGTAGGGAGAGATTATTTTCCTTTTTTTTAGCTAAAGTAGCTAGAAATGAGAGGATAGAAAGTCTCTTGGATACGCTCTTAGAATAGTCATCAACATATGCATTTAGCTGTAATATAATGGCCAACATAAGTTAAGTCGGTTGATAAAGATAGTGTGTCCGTCCCCTTAATTTCAAAGTAATAACTTGGGTTTTTTGATTAATATGAACCCAAATAAAGCTAGCTAATTAAAGCAAAATAGCAAATTAACTTAAGACTTACTACAAAGGTTTAATAATAACAATAGGTACAAAGATCTGAACCTTCTTTAATCCTCCTACTTTTAATTTTTTTCAGGGTTTTTAAGGACATTTACAGTCAACAAGAAAATGCATTGCTCATTTTCTCGATCCCTTTCGGCTTGTTTCATTTGGGCAGTGATTACAAGGCAACTGAACGCACCAACAGAACTACTTTGACTTCACCAGTGAGCCCAATTTTCCCGCCTTTTGTGGGCAAAAACGTGGAAAGATCACAGCCGTTAAAGGCCAACTCCTTTGCCATGATCTGACGATTTGCGTGACAACTCAACTGACTTTTCATTCGAGGGATCGCTCACAGACCGAGACAGCAGGGTAGAGTCCGAATCTGTTCAAAGAAAAACCCGCAAAATTATAAGAAAATCAAAAATCAAAAATAAAATTTGTTCGTAAATTTTAATTTTAAAATAAATTTTAAATTTTAAAAATTAAAATTACCTCTGGAGGCATTGAAGGAGCGCTTGCAATGCAGAATGGCGCTTTGGATTCCATCCTGCTGCTGAAGCAGCGAATCATCTCTCCTCTGAGACACCACGGCTCCTGACGGAGCCGCCGCTACAGCCGAAGAAGCCGACCGGCTTTTACCCAAGTGCTTACAAACCACTCTCAGCCCAGCCGGAAAATTTCCCTGTTTATGACAACTCTTCGCAATGCTCGCCGTCGCCGGTGGCTCTGAAGCTTCAGTCCCTGACTGGCTCTTCTCAGACCCAGCAACAGGTGCCGGCGCTGTCGAGCCGCTTAAGCTGAGTTGGCCGGACAGCCTGAGCTTCTCGCCGTACCTCTTGGACACGCGAACGTAGAGAGGCTTGACCATTTTCAAGTACTTTTGCATTACTTCTTTGGAAAAGCGCTTTTCCTCAGAAGCCGATTCTTCAGCAGCGCTTATGGGCTTCTGCTGGGTCTGGGTCTGGGACTGGGACTTGTTGGTGGTGGTGGAGATTCTGGAGCTGTTGTCTCTGGTAAACAAAGACACAATGGGTACCTCCTCGACTTTAAATTTCACCGTGAAAAGCTTCCCCTGCTGCTTTCGCTTCTGCTGCTGCGGCTCTTGGGCTTTCTGCGGCGGTTCAACAGATCCAACAGCCGGGTCTGTTTTCTCCGACCCATTTGCATTCGACTTCGATTTCTTCAAACCCAACATGAAAACACGAAATTTGGTGGCCGATTTCAACAAGGAAACGGCGAATTGGGGCTTGGAGTTGGGTTCTTCAGATGGGTTGAACTCAATCGACGAGGGCTCAATGGGCACAAGCTTGCCTTTGAAGAACAAGTCGTCGGAGGGAGACAGAGTGAGGGTGGGGTCGTCCGTACGGTCATGGCTAGACCCAGAAGAGACCGTGAAGTTGAAC